TCTTTGATGTGATGTGCTCAGGCTGGCAAAAGCCACTGCGGCATGAACTGGATCTACTTCATCCGGGTGAAGGCAGGCACGTATTGCACTGCAGCTGCGTTGATTCTCATCTGTGCCACCATGAAGCAAAGCTATCTTTCAGTCCCTGTGACACGCTGAAACTGCATTCAGGTGTAGCTGAACTGGCGGGCAGTGTCATAAGACGAACAAGTTTGACGACTTCAGGGATGGGCTTCCGCGCGCTGTGTCTCAAGCTGCAGAAAACGGACAGGGAGAAATGCAAGCATAGCCACCAGGGGCTAGATCTACATCTCTTGGCAAATGGGAAGGGGCGATCTCTCCTTGCCCCTCTGGCAGCGCTGTCCATTTCCATTTTCCATGATATTTGTTTGAGGCGTGTTCGGGCCATTTCCCGTCTGGAAGATGTCATTTCAGATTAGTGTAGTTCTGTGGGTAACGAAAACGCCCATTAACTTTTACCTCGCTTGAAGCAAACCAGTGAATCTGAGGAAGTTGAAGAAAATATTAACAATTGAGGGCGGTCATCGCTAGGGACTTTTTAAAAAATAGAAATCGATACTATGTTTACGACAATAGGCCTACATATATTTGCGCCGTTGTTGATGTTTGGTACACTCAGCAACATGTTTAACCGAAAGTGACTGATCGCATGGCTGACAGTGGGGACGAGGGTGACAAAGTTGGTTACATGTGCTACTGTGTGAGTGTAGTGCGTCCAATTCGTAAACAGGCCAACACCTTGCCTTCTAAACGGCCTTTACGGCGCGTTGTTGGCCAAGGGGTGATGTCGGGTCTTGATATTATGAAGTTGTGCTCCGGTTGTGTCGGTCTATTGCCGTAGCTCAAAATGTTTTGTCAGTGCGCGACTCGAAGATTTCGTAGATGCATGATCAATAGGAATCCCTTTGATGTAAGGATCTCCATTGGTCATGGTTAAGGGGCTGTTAAAGCTACCTTAGTTAATTGGTCAGCCTGCTCATTTCCCCTGGTGCCTCTCTGTCCTGCAATTCACAGACATTTGATGTGCATGTCCTGCATGTGTAATACACGATAGAGATTGATGGACGAGGCCATAAGTGAGGTCTGGGTCCATAAGTAATTACAGTAAGCGCGCGCTTTTGTGTGCAAGAACTTGCGCCTGATACAATGGCTGTCGATTGGCTTTCAACCAATGTTGTGCAAGGTAGGGTGAAGCAGTCAAAAATTCCGTACTAAGCAGCACATTTACTAAATACCGAAACCGCGTAGTCTTGAGCAATCTTTCCCACTCAAAAGTATGACAATAATTATACGTGAGCTATTTCATCTTATCTGATGCTTCCTCCAACATCTGAAAACGTGGAACATACCCTTAAGAGGGAATTTTCGGAATACTTGAGCTCCAAAAATATTTGGGGGTAACTTTGTGTAAATTTATTTCTTAGCATCACAGCTCATCGAAATATTGGCTCTCTTTGCGCTGAAATTGGCGAGACCGTGCGCCGAACGAAAAGGCTCTCTCGATCAGTTGAGCGATAGGAGTAAACATCCATAAATGTTTCCAAACAAGTCAGTGATATACGTATAGTGGTATACGAAGTAGATGTTGCAATACACCCCTATTACCACGTCTTCCATACACCTCTGAGATAGTGTCTTATAGAAGCGGAAAACTGAATTTAAACGAGCGTTTTCTTCCCTGACCTTGGGTCAAATATAAAGGTCAGAACAAGCTAAAAATCAAACTACTTTTGCACTTAAAAACTTTATTAATGGATTTTTTAAATTTTGCCACCACAGGGACGCCAGCAGGCATCTTTGTTTGGCTTTTGAAGGCCAGAGGTCACTTATCCAAAATATTCCAGATGAACTCCTTATTTTAGGACCATACCAGCACCACAACATGTCACACCATACCATAACATCTCAGATCAAGGTAATAACCAAGCCACTTTTGCACTAGACAGATTGATTGCCGTTTTTAAGACAATGCCTTTGTCGCAGGGACGTGAACAGACATCTTATTTTGGGCTTGTGAAGGTTAGAGGTGGTGATTAATCTCAAATTATTCCGATGAACCTTTTGCTTTTAAGCCATTCCACATGGCGTCATCCTTCTTGCTCAGTTGTATTGAAAAGTCAGAACAATATCGTATATTTTTGAACATCTTGACCTTGTTATGGTCAAGCCAGTGACCTTTTGCTTAGATCAGGTATCTAGGGTACCTGTAGTTGCATGACGGGGCGGCATCGATCTGGGATTTGGCATTGTTAGACTAATTTTACCTGAATTTCATAATTCAAAAATATAAAAATTCAAAGCGCGCGAGTTTCCATATAGGTATACGTGCCCTGTGAACTGTGTATCTTAAGCTTTTGGTTTTGGAGATCTTAGTGTGGTCAAATTGGGCTACCACCCGAGCGCCTCGCATTCAGCCGGCCTTTCGTGTGCGTGTTAATCGACTCTGAACGTTGCATGGGCCGAACTCTAAACGTACAAAAATGATTTAGTTAACTTGCGGTGCAACCTTTCACCCTCCCAGCCTTCATCCGACACAAGCGGAGGCAGGTTTATCCGTCTTTTTGAGAGTTCGGAATGAACGCAAATCCGGAGTGGCCGAAGCAGATACTCGGTGACCCTGACCGGTAGATACTCAGTGACCCTGACCGGTAGATACTCGGTGACCCTGACCGGTAGATACTCGGTGACCCTGACCGGTAGACACTCGGTGTGCCCAGTTATCGGCGGCGTAATTTGACGTTATATTTCCTTGGAATGCAAAACTTCACTGCAAACAGAGAGCCATAAAAGACTATTGTGGTATCCAGTTTGGTCGTGGAATCGCAGCTGCGAAAATATGAACTAGGGGCAAAGTCAAAAGCAGGATGGCAGGTACCACGCGTTCCAGGACAGATCGAAGCGTGCCTTACACGCTCATCTGTTGGACTTGCACGTAACTTGGTCACACGGGTGCCCAATAGCGGTCAATAGCCTTCGTAAAATCAAGCATCTCAGCTCAAAAGTGTCGGATTCATGGCCTCCGGCATTTCATTGTCGCGTTGCGTGAGTTCTCGATAGCAAACTTATCTACTGTGACGAATGAAACTACGCAAATGTAGCCAATACATTTGCACAAATGCCTTTATTTGTAATAGCGTACCGATATCGTTTTTATGCTATATATTCTCCTCGTTTCCATTGGTTTCCATCGGTTTCCGTTCGTAGGTGAATTGCTGTTGAAACTGCACCTAATGCAATGCGACACAGAACCGCCGGAGGTTATAACTCCGAAACGTTTGATGTGGATTCAGAATGAACCGCGCCATTTATGGGATCTACGCTGGCCAATTACCGGCCAACGCTCTGGCAGTGCGAATATCTGTAGCACAACCAGCGGAATGCGTGCTGACGGTCGGAGCGTCGGTTGATGGACACTTTTATGTCCTTGTTTTGAGGGACGGAGACTGGGGTTATTGCTCGCTCGATGAAAAGGGCGCCCGCTGCGAGAAAAGTCCTTTTCGGTGCCGGCTTACAAGAAGTGCACGACTCTCAAGTGGCGAGGGACAGACTGATAGTCACCGCCGCACTGGGGTCATGAGTGGCTCGCGGATTCCACCACGCCGTTACCCAGTGCATGGACTCGCGCGCCAGGGTGCGTTTAATCCGTGCCTGACCGGCGACACTTCGCCGTGGTGTTCGGGAGCCGCGAGCCCACGGAGAATACGCTCGTGCACTTCAGCTTGACGTCCAAGCAGTGGCAGCGTATCCGGGGGAAAGGGGGAGGGGGCAGCGGAGGCAAACTGCCCTACCCATCTTTTAAGGCGGGGGCAAAAGTATCTTTCCCCCAGTGAGTATCTTTCTTGGCCTCACTGACAGTCATGGCTTGACATTGACCTGCCCATAGGTCAGCGACGTTACAAGGCACAGGGGGCTGCAGTTGAAATGGCCATGGCAAGGGTCCGGTACATCTCGGCCTCAAGCATGCGTTTAACTGCGCATTAGGTTATATTTCAACATGCATTGAAAGTGCATCAGCGAGAGCGCCAGTTTCATGTTTCACTCAATCACTGAAACTTTCGGACGTCTGATGTATCGAGATACAACTGATTTTGATACCGCACGGCGGCGCGAGTTATCAAGATCTTGGAATCGTCTCTGCAGATAGGACCCTCCCGACTGGAGGATAAGTCACCGTAGTGATTACATGAATCCCATGTTAGTGTAAGCGCATGAACTGCATTCGTTAAAATTACTAAACCCACTCATAATAATGACAACCATATTTCCGAGCCATGTTTTTGTGAGGTAACATTGCAATGTGAACAGTGAACGTTGTGTGTACAATGAACGTCAATCAATTCACTAGCCAAATTTGCATGACTGATTTTCACTTTCATGTCTCGTAAGTCGCGGATCAAACCCACTGCTGTCGGTCCCCAAAAGTGTCTGGCTCCATTCATTTATGTCATGGCAGCAGTCATCACAACGGTTGGCCACCCTCTAGCCTTTTCCTGCCTTTTTCGTCCGGTGCCAGTCCAGGCGCCTGGACGGCGGCACGCCGCAGGCGAAAACATCCCTGACAGCAATATGGGCTCGACGACATGAGCATTTGCTTGAGTTGAGCTGCTGCCGGGCTCTGGGTGCCCGTGTAGAACTATCTTATTGAGAACTGACCAGCCTTGCGAATGACACGAATGGCAAGGCGTATGTTGCTCTTCCCGGCTTATCGGAATCCACACCCAGCTGAGTTTACTCTGATTGAGACCGGTCCCGGTGTCCAGCAGCGGTGCCCCCCCCCCCCCCGAACGCGTTCAAGGTCATTGGCCGGCAGCGGTGAACGTTCGCGCAGTGTCGCCGCGGAACCGGCGCCGGCGGCTGGGCAGGGAGTGTTTACCGCACGCGAGTCGTGCAAACGGTGGTGCGGCCGTCCGCGAGTCGTCGTACCGGTGCTGCCGCGAACGCCGTGTAGCGGTGCCCCTCGTCGGGACTTCGGAGCCGTGATATTGCCCGCCGCGTGCCGGAGATAGTGGTCCGGCCTCCCGCGACAGAGCCGCTCGCGTCGGTGGCCGACGCGCCGCGCCGCCAGGCAACAAGCATTCGTCCTTGAACGGGGCGGGCCATGCTCTCCTGGCCGCTGTTGCTGCTGCTGGCGGCCGCGCTCGGCTGGCTGTGGGCGCGGAGACCGCGCCGTCCGTCCGGCTTCCCCCCCGGTCCTCCCACCTTCCTCATCTTCGGCGACATCCGGACGACGCTAGAATTGCTGTTCGGAGACGTCCGCGAGGTGCTGCTCGACCGCCGGCGACGGTACGGCGACATCAACGGCGTCGTCAGCCCTGGCGGGCAATTCATCGTCAACATCTGCGCCTTCGAGGACATCAAGGAGGCGTGCAGCATGCCCGAGCTCAGCGGCAGACCCGAGACGTTCTCCTTTCTGGTGCGCAGCTTTATGCAGAAACTGGGGATAATCTTCAACGACGGGGTGGTGTGGCAGGAAAGCAGGAGGTTCGCACTGCGGCATCTGAAAGACCTGGGTCTGGGCAGGAGCTCAATGGAGGACAGCATCCTGGCCGAGTTCGAGCACCTACACGCGGAAATGGAGTGCGACGTCGGGAAGCCGATGCTGGTAAATAATCGCTTCAACCTGACCGTTCTGAACGTGCTGTGGAAGATGGTGGCGAGCGAGCGGCTGGACCCGGCCGACCCGCAATCCATGGAACACGTGCGCCTCGTGAATGACTCAATCGCGGAGTTGGGGCCGCGCAACTTGCTGATGATAGCACCGTGGCTGCGCCACGTGGCGCCCGGCCTCAGCGGGTACAACGCGCTCGTGCAGCAACGGGACGCCGCGCTGGCCATGTTCCAGCGCCTGGTGCGCCAGCACCGCGCCACGCTGGACCCGCGCGATCCGCGCGATTACATCGACCGCTTCCTGCTGGAAATGGAGACGGGGGACGCCGCTGAGCGCGGCTTCAACGAGCTCAATCTGGTCGTTATCGGCATGGACTTCCTGCTCGCCGGCATGGAGACGACGTCCACCTCTCTGAGCTGGGCGCTGCTCTTCATGGTGAAGCACCCAGAGGTGCAGCGCCGCGTGCAGCGCGAGGTCGACGCCGTGCTCGGCGGCCGCGCGCCGGCCGGTGCAGACCGCCTCGCGCTGCCCTACACGGACGCCGTGCTGATGGAGGTGACGCGCCGCGCCGCGGTCGTGCCGCGCGCTGTGCCGCACGCCGCCACGCGGGACGTGCGCTTCCGCGGCTACCTGATCCCGCGCGGCGCCGTCGTCATGATGAGCCTCCACGACGTGCACATGGACGCGGCCTACTGGGGCGATCCGGAGCGCTTCCGGCCGGAGCGCTTCTTGGACGAGTCGGGCGCGGCGCGCCGCGACCCGCGGCTCATGCCGTTCGGCGTCGGCCGCCGCTCGTGCCTGGGCGAGCAGCTGGCGCGAGCTGAGCTCTTCCTGCTGTTCGTCTGCCTGATGCAGCGCTTCTCGTTCGAGGCGGTGCCGGGAGAGGCGCTGCCGTCGGACGGCCAGTACGCGGCGCTGCTGCAGCCGGAGCCGTTCCACGTCACGTACCGGACCCGCGCTGAGAGCTCTAACTCCTCGACCTAGGGGAGATCAGTTACACTCAGAGACAGAGGGGGTCATCTGAGCTGTGACGACACCTGAAAGGCTTCCCGAGGCTCCTTGGCGCCCGGAGGCGGGTAACTGTATGATGAGCTGCATGCTGCCGCTCTGCCGACGTCACAATTACTGTTGCAGTCAAACGTGATAGGTGGCTTGTCCACTTCAGGGTTAGTTTATGTGCAATAACACGGTCCGAACCGAATAACACCCAAAACCTGCCCCAGCACTGCACGCTGCGAGTTGCACTCGTCGGTCACGGCCCTCGGTGCACACGCGGAGGTGCTGAACAATCAGCTTTCATTGTCAACCACATTATGCCACGCTATCCCTGCTTGGCGTCATGTAATCCGCAATCTGTGAGTGTGCCAGTGGTGCGGAACGTGTCTTCTCTGTCTCCGACGAATTTGGAGCAGTCTAAAATGTCACCTGAAGGTAAATCTATCAGAAACCGGTGCGATACAGCTCTAAGGCGATACATGACAAGGAGAAGTGAAATGCAATGCGGAATATCCACCACACAGCTTTGTTCGGAAGTTTCATTTGCACAAATGTACCATTTGCTGGTCATGCCAAAAGTCCCGGTGATATCAGGACGCGGGTCTTAGTGCCCAAGTGACTGGGACAGCGGGCTTAAGGCCTTCAGGCTTCAAAGCCGGTGAGCACGTCGGGGTGACAGGGCGTAGTCCATTCACAAAACTTACGACACCGCTTTGCTATGGGATTGTACACTCTTTTTTACGCTTCACCCCAAGCCATCTTAATCTAAGAATTGCTGTGCTGTTAAAGACACAGCTATAGCCTCCGTCTGTAACCACGGTATGTGAAATAGAGTTTCATGATCTTCAATAAATTCAAAAATACAGACGCATAAGTCTTTATCCTCGCCTTGGAAACATTTGCTATCCACTCTAGAACCATCAGCCAGAAATCTAACACTGGATATCAATGTTGGAGCAGATTTCTCACTGCTGGCGTGAAGGACTAGTGTAGACATCGCTGTTCTCGCACTGCAGTGGCCACGTGCACAATCAGCAGCAGCATTGTTCATGCGAGCACAGAAAGCGTATGGGCATGCACGGTCTTCAACGGCGCCCCTTGTATACTATGTACATGGGAAACGATTCATGGTCACGGGTTCCTGAAATGTTGTCCTAGATAACCAGTGAGAAGCGAGTATGACATTGTAGAATGGTCAGCTAAGCCAGTCACAAGGTAGGCATCACGTTGCGATCCCAGAACTATCTAATGCAACTGAGGCTGGTGAGGCTATGAAGGCGGCGTTTTAAAGGAGGTATCGGATCACGTTACGGAAACCGGGTCTGGTTCAGGCTCTGATGGAACTGATGGTATGTGGTGAGTGAGATCTTTCCCAAGTTTAGGTGTCTTGTAGCACTTTTTCGTTCTAGAGATTTTTAAGGATTCCGGAGACTTTATGTCTTCAGACGACTGGAGGTTTTAGAAATCTGGAAATCCACTGTCGTGAGATGTAGCTTTGATGCACCACAGCGCGAGGTCCTTTCGATGAGATTTTTAATGAATGTTTTAAATTGTCATCGTTCTCATTGCTCAATGCAAGCATAACATGAGTGGAAATTGCAACACAGTCTAATGACAACTGCACAGTTGATATCCATTCATGAAGGCCACATAAAACACTACAGAATATTCTTTCATCGTAGTTAATCTTTAAATAACATTATTACGATGTAAAACTCGTACTATCTTTATTCGCAGTCAAACTTCCTAGGCAGACGGTGACGCCCGTTGCGCGCGATAGCAGGCTGCGGCGAGCGCGGACCGCTTGACACCGTGGAGCCGGTTGCGTGGCGTATCAGTGTAAATAGTTAAAAAGCTATAGCTCCTGTTCTACTGCGGTAAGCCGACATGAAATACATTTGCATACTAATCAACGCACAAATGGTAACGAGACAAAATATCAAGCACATTCACTAATAATGAAACTGTTGCATTGAGTGGTACATTGTAACAACTTGACACACTTTTCATCGCAGGTTTGCACCCTTGCACTTAAGCACAGACCGGGCGTCAGTGCACAGCCTGAGCTGCATGGCTATGTCCTGGCACAAACCTTTTATGACGACAGTCCAGTCGGGTTCACTAGGTGTGCGGCGAGCCGGTGAGGAATGCTGGCATGGCGCGGCGCGGCACGGCTCGGTGGCCGGGCGGTGCGGGGCGGCACGGCGGGCGGGTGCTGGCTGAGCACCTGCGCTTGCAGCGGCGACCACTACGGCCACTCCATTTGAGTCAGTTGATCACAGTTGAACAGCTGACGAACGAACATTTGAGCCTGCATCGTGAGGACGAACATTTGAGTCTGCATCGTGTGTAAATTACAATACTAGATGGTTACTGTAGATTGTTCCCGCTGTACACAGGCATTGGCCGAACATCGGCTGGCATTTAAATACTTCTGCTCGCAGCGGGAGTGTGAATCATGTGTTGGTGGTGAGAGTTAGTCGCTGCGCGCATGCAGAGGTTAACGATTAGCGAATGTTTAAATGTCTGCTCATGGACAGAGTCGAAGCGGTAGCGACAGATGATAGAATGAAACGTTATATTTGTTATCCTCGGTTAAATTGCTCGCGCTTGCCGTTTGCCTGACGATGATAGACTGAAATGCGAATATGTTAAATGAGGAAAAATGCGGAAAAATTGTTTGACGACTGCATTTCAGAATTCGGTTCCGTTGTCAGATACAGTTACACAGGGCAGGCATGACGCTGAACCTTCTTCTCTGTATTACTAAAGGAACAATGTGTGTGTGTGTGTGTGTGTGTCCGCCATTTCATTGGGATCACCTGCAGGCTAAACGGTCAGGCATTTTTTCATGAGATTTTCACACGACTGAGGTCTGGTGGCGGCGCGAAACAGAGTCGCGTCAAAATTCCACATTTCGCAAGAATGGGCGCGTGCCGAGCAATAAAGGAGCGAAAAAATCCCCTAAGCTTAACATAGGCGACGCCAATTTCAAGATGGCCGGCCGACGGCCCGACTCTCCCCGCTTCCCGGAGCCGTATCTCAATAACCAAGGGTCGCAGCGACACGAGACTTGCGCAGTGCGATAGAGCATGGAATGGGTCATCGCACTTGAGTGAGTTTTTTTGTGCCACGTGGTACGTGGTACGTGTACACGTGTTGAGAAGAAACCGGCCGTTTTTGACGGGTTTTTGCGTTTACCGGTGTATCTCGGCACGCAAAGCACCTAGAGGCCTAAATGTTGTTTCCCAACATTAACAATTGAGGCCGCTTCACTTTCAGTTGCATCGCGACTTTGTGCAACGTACTGTTGCGTTGCAAATTGCAATGCAACTTGCAACGGGCCGAGTTTCAAAAACCGGCGCTGAATAAAAGCCGTTACCGTCAAACTTATGCGTGATTTAGTGTTGAAAGCTAGACCAGCTTGTCGGCCGATTCATCCTGCCTCTGATACACCCTTTGTTTGATCCCAATTCGAAAAGGTCGTTCGCAAACGAGCCTAGCCTATGGGATTGCATGACGGCTTTTTCGCCGCGACGACGGCACGTTATTGCCCCGACTCCCGGGGTACACCCTACGCACTAAGGATTGAAGTGACTATTCGCGCAGCGGACTGTCGGCTTTGTTCATATTCCCGGCCTTTATGTCATCACGCTAACGGGTGGCCGGCTAGACACCCTTCGCTCGGGTGGGGGGGAGGGTCAGTTTGACCCCAACTCCGGAGCTCTCGGGAACTAAGAGCGCTAGAGACACCAAATTTACGGGGTGTCTTGACCTGTACGTGAACTCACTTAGGTCAAATTTTGAGCTTCCTAGGACATGACCTTCAGGTAAAGTAAGGTCATACCAGGTCAAATTTCAGGGTGGTCTCCAGAGTGCCCCCAGAACCTAGGCAACTATTTCTAAGCGAAGGTCACAAGCTCATTTGAGTTCAGTGACCTTGTTTGACCTTTCGAAGGTCGTGGTGACCAGTCACACAAGACTGCACTGAGTTTTGCTTTTGAATAAGCGACAAAGATAACGCTAGGCAGTACGTTACTGCAACAAAATGTCGACCGGGGACATCTTAGGTCAATGACCTGTTCTGACCTCTAAGAAGTCAATGGAAGATGTGTAATGCGGTTCCTGCTGTCGATAAATTCAAAATGAGCACCACAAGCTATCCCATACAGCAAGCCCTAGAGTAATAAATCATGTTGGTTTTGACCTTGGTCTGACCCTCACATCTGACCTTAGGTCAACGGGATTTGCTCATTCAATATTTTTGGTGCCTAAGAAACATCTCAGAGATGTATGGCTTCGTCAGACACTCCGTTGTTGTATCAGATTAAACGATTCCCTAGAAATCGCCTTCGCTGAAACCATGGCCTGACTTTGACCTGCCATAGGTCAGCGACCTTACAGGATGCATATAATTTGTTGTCAAACGAACCGCTATTTACATGTCTACAGATATGTAACATTTGCTGCGGCTACGCCGCGCCGTTTGGAAACCATTCTGGAAAAATCTTCGTGGGTCAATTTGTCCCCCCCCCCCACCCGAGCGCGTGTTAAAGAACGGGCATTCTGGCGTGCGTCCAGTCTGTCCGGCTGTGGATCGAGTCGGTGGGGAGTTCGTTAGTGGGCGCGGTCTCGGCTCAGGCATGGTGGTTGACGGCGCGCTATGTGTAATGGTCGCCGTGCGCGTACAGGTGTGCATTTTGTTTCCCAACGTTCACAATTGTCGTAGGTACACTTTCAGTCGCATCGCGAGTTTGTGCAACGCACCGTTGCGCTGCAAATTGTAGGACGTATTGCCAGATGCTGGCGCCTTATATACCAGCCGTTACCGTCAAAAGTATGCGTGATTTCATCTTGGCACCCAGGGCACGGAGCCACTGGGGAGTGGCATGTATTGATAAGAAATCGA